ATCGGTTTATCTGTTTCTGGTTTCAAGCAGCAGTTCGCCCAGATCCGTTTTAAGGTACCGTTTTTCCGGTTTCGGCTTTCCATATATTTCCGGTTCCGTTTTTACGGATCTGGAAAAACGGAACCGGAAAAACCGAACCAATTTTTTTTTGATTTTGATTAATATTTTTAGTTCCTTATTTTTCTTGGGAATAGAGAAAAATAGTGGTATTTTTTCCCCCAATTGTTCCAAAAAACATTTTTCATGATACCAGCAAAACTGACGAATTGAGGTCACCCTGACTAAAATGATCATACGCAAACGTTTCACATTTATACATTCACTTTCGAAAATGCTGAAATTTTCAGTTCCAGTCAACCAGTCGGCTTCAAATAAATTGCATGACACAGTTTGTTTCAGAACAAGTCTCTGAGAACGGACCCCTGCACACAAATCATAGACAATGCTAACAACTTTTCCGTTTACTCGTCATTTCTGTTTGATGCACAAAAAGACATAATACGTGATGCGAGGAATATGAAGTCATTCGAACCCTCTCAACTTGATTACATTTGTTTTCATTGTCGTTCTCTGCAAAAAATTATGTCAGGAGACTATAGATTTTATGTTCTTTTATGGGGTGGTTTATGGAAAAAATAAAAGAATTCCGGATTTCTTTAATATGTGTTTGGATTTTCAGATTAACCAGTTTTATTAACTCCAAATTGAAAATTTTTTCAAGTTGGCAATTTCGTCAAATCCCTCTTTATGAGTTTTGCTTATCGAAGGTATTCAGACAGATGGGTTTGTTATCGATAAAGAGAGGGTAGCTGGAAAAAATTTTCATTCGAGACGAACTATACAGTCCCATGGGATCATGGGTGGGATGCATTGGCAGGAACATGTTGATTTTAAGAATATTTCAATTATTTTTGGCTACGTTATCTGATTAATTTTATATAAAAATTTTTCAAAGAAGTATAAAAGCTAGTTGTATTCTGGTCAACTAAAACGATTGGTGATTGTGAAGTGTTCCGAGAAATTCCAGATTCTTCCTGGTAATATTTGGAACCTCTTTTGGGCAAAGCTTGGCTCTTTGACAACAAGCAAGTTGAGAATCAGGGCATAGATAGTTCTGTACAGGGTGCCCCCGAAGTACGTTTGCATAAACACGTCGTTGTAACTTTTTGGAAGAAATCCAGAGAATTTCGTAGACAAATTCTCTCAATTCTGATAATCAACCATAACTTACACTTTTGGAATTATTGTTTTTAGTTATTACTTTTCGTAAGTAACTGGATACTGGTTGATTTCACAATGCTTGAGGCACGGAGGTGTTTCTCATTTTGCTTACTACTTATGATAGAAATGTAGCTTTCGGAAACTATGAATTTTTTATGTAATGATTAAAAAAAAACATAAGACGCTAAAAGCCCTTCTAAATAGGAATATTGTCGAATTGAAAAAGCTGGGACCTGGGAATTTGAAAACCTTTGCTTTTTTGATCTACGAAAAAGTGCGGCAAAGTCGTAATATTTCAGACTTTTGCCTCGTTCGAGCTACTTTTGCAATTAAGTTCGGGTTTTCAATGAAAACCAGGTTCTAGAAATGCTAGCGATCATTTTCATACCAAAAAGTCTGAATTTTGTACAGAATAACCCACCAAATTCCCAGAAATTAATTTTGTTTAATACTGTAGTAATTTTTCGATGAGGCCCCGTAAATCGACTCGGAAACCGCCCACGAAGTTTTCCAGGCCCCAGTTAATTTAATTCGACAATACAAATCATAATTTAATAATTCCGGTGTAAGTGACGGTTTTAGATTTTGAATGGATTAGGAATTTGCAACAAAATGTGGTGAAAATGGTGCGGGTACTGTAAAATAACCTTCAAATTGTGTTATTTCATTAGCACCATACTTGCAACGGGCCGGGCCGGGCCGGGCTTTTTCCCGAATTTTGAAGTCCCGGCCCGGCGGGCCTGTCATTTCACAAGTTTCGAAAATTTCAAAAAACACATAAGGGGGGACCCTTATGTGATTTTTTTTCGAGTTTTTTTTGATATTTTTTGATCAAACAGACAAACAATCCGAAAAGCACAAAAAAATATAGAAAATTGTGTTGAGAGCTCAAAATTCGATTCAAAATGACAAAATTTTTGCTACCGGGCCTTCCAAAAGTTGTTTTGGCACAGATTAGGAACACAAAGAACAGAGAAAAGAAATTGGACTGTAAACAGGATATTTTACATGTGCACATATATTTATCTTCAGTGTCCCTCTTCTTTTTTTCACTTCTCAGCACAAGAAATGATTGTGGAACAACGAATAAATCTCTGGTTTCTTCATCCTCCTATCTCCATTCCCCTATTCTTCTTCTTCTCGCCTTTTCGTCTTTTTGGGCACACGCGCAATTCGATTTGAGCTCTTTTCTGCCGGCGTATCCAACGACTTCAGTACTATTTTGGATGGTGTCGATGGGAAGGGTCTAATGTAACAACAGGGACGAAATATATTGGAATAGAGAAAATCGAGAATCTCGAAAAAGTTTCACCTCAAAAAAAAGATTCTTCGCGCGTTTCGAAATGAGATTTTCTCTCCAAATAGGGGCAAGCCTCTTTTTGTTTAGTGCTCGCCGAGCACTGAACAGATGACGTATTGGTTACGGTAGATCAAAAAACTTTGAACTGCGATGGAGAAAGTTCAGAGTTCTTTGTTGGATTTATAAGGATATTTTCATACTTCATTGAAATGAAGTCTGACACAACGATTTTTCTTTGACCTACCTTATAAAGACTTACCCATACACTAAAGTTTGTTATTCTTTGGGAACCTGAATTGATTCAGGTCTTAACTTTCGTTTCCCTTCTTTAAAATATTTTTCCTAACTTAAACCCCAAACTCTAGCGGAGTCTAGCCAAACACTGTTTTTAAAATATCCAGTTCCCAATACTTGACAATTCAAACCGAGATTCTTCCAACAAGACAAAAAGTTGTGAAGCAGAATAATGAGATTCTCGTCTATCTCGTGATACGCGAGTGCAATATTCGGGCCATTTTGGATGATTCACCAATGGGAAATGAGATTTCCGAGGTTCGCGATGACTCTGAAGATCCAGCATGAATTTGAGAATCTTGAATTTTGTTAAAAGTTTTTCAAGCGATATTTTCTGGCCCAGTATCCAAGGATACAGATTTCCTTGTGGTATATTTGGGAGGGCGAAAAAAACGAAATATTTGTTTATAATCTTTCTTGATTCTGCTCAAAATTATATGCTTACAATTAGGCTACGACGCTCTACACCCCAATACCCCATGAACCCTAATATCTCGATGTACCTTTTTTAATGTACCAGTATTAATACTTGGGTTATTTTTTTGGGCTTTTATCCATTCTCTTCAATTTTTCATCCTGAATGACATCCGTAGTTTCTAAAAGTTTTTTGCAAAACAAAATTCAGCTAAAACCTTTTATTCCGTCCACTACGAAAGGGTCCATTAGCTCATCCGTCAGGTCATCAACCCTATAATTTGCTGTATTTTTTCTAAACTCGTTTTCTATTCTTTAAAAATTCAGCATCCAAAATAAACTATCTTTCTTCCTAGGAATAGTTCATTTTCAAAAAAGAAGAAGTCATCAAAAATCAGTATGATGGTTTCATCAAAATATTGTCGAGTGAAAAATGAGGAAAATCGGGGAATGATAGGAACTGAAAGATTGTTGGAACAAAGACCAGAAATGATTGATGTTTTTCTTTTCTTTCGAATCCAGAACTAGATTTGACATCATCATCATCATTACTTCTAGAATGACCCAAAAGTATTGAATGGTGGCTAGAAGAAAATAATCCTAAAGAAAGATCTCCACAGAAAACAATACATATTTTTCCCTTATTCTCGTTTCTCGCTCCTCACACATTACTTATATATAGGGCCGTTTGTTTCCAAAATTAGTACGGAAAAGTCTCCCTGAAGGAGTTCAAAACTGAAGAAATGGAGTCACTTTGTCATTCATTTTATGGGTTTTCGGGAGACAAGAAACATCACTTTTCCGTACATTTTGACGTTCGTGACTTCTTTGTTTTGTAGTTTTTTTCTTGCAAAAAGATTTCATTAAATCGAGAAGAATAATGATTGTTTTGTGTTTTGATTATGCCTATTCTAACATCAAAAATCTGGGCAATTCCCCCGTTGATTAGGCTATTCCATTGAGAGTTTCATACCAGGAAACACAATTTTCAGACAATGAAACAAACATTTAGAACTCTTGGAATGCCCCTGTTATCAAAAGAAATCAAAATTATGTTTACTAGAAATGCATTTCCCAGAATATTGTCTCCAAATGGCAGTACGGTATGGGCGTCATTCAGGGTGGCGCATAATTACCCGGACTGAAGTTTGTACTAGCATGAAATGTGAGTAACGCGTTGTACTGACCTCAAATTCAAATTTGGAGAACGGAAACTCAAATAATTCATCAGTAAACTGGTCCGCCTTCCTCTCCCTTAAAAACCCTTAAATATGGGTTACCTTTTTTTGACACACTAGGAAAAAAATCGCAGCGGGCGGTAGGCTCAACCGATTTTGATGATTTTTGCACCATTTTGTAGGGAATCTCTTTGGCTACCTTGTATATGAGTCTGAATCAAGTTCTAAATTATTTGATCAACACTGAGCTAAGTTATCGCTTGTCAAAGTTGCTTCATCTCATGAACATCACAACGGCGTGCAAAAAACCTTGCGCCGTTCATCTTACGAGAACCTAACAATACTTAGGCTTGAAGAATCGCTTCGAAAATTTCACTAGCTTCGAACCACATGTAAAATTATATTTCTATCGATTTTCTTGCTTCCAAGTTAGTTATGTCAATGGATTTTATCCGTTTGCAAGCGAAGAGGTTTTGCCCGTTTTATCCGTTTGTGTAGTTGTGTGCCACCTTGTAAACATTGAAACACACTCAAAGGTTTCCTTACCTATCAAAACGCTTCTCTCACTTTTCAAAAACGCCAAAAGGTAATCCTACCAGGGACAGGACTCGAACCTGCGTTGGGTCAGTGCCCGCCGAGTCGTGCGACTCGTGCCTTTCCCCACTCGGCCACCCGGGTGGATATTCTGAAAAATTGTAACCCTTAATAAAACTAGCGAAAATGGATCGGAAAGCGGGGGAATTGATTCATTAGAGTAACTTGAAGTGGAAATCAAACTAATGCAATTGAGAATTGAAGAAATTTCGTGGAATCTTTCAAAGAATCTTTTGAAGAAAGACTAAAATTTGTACAAGTGAAGCTGAAGTGTGAACACATCGGTCGCGAACTGCTAACTTCGTTCTCTTTTTGTCTGAACATTTGTATATTCTTCTGTTTCTTTTCACAATGGAAAGCCTTTTTTTAGCTCTTGGAATTTAAATTCATATCTTTACAAATTAAAAATAAAATAAACTCTGAAAGTAGCTCTGTAATGCATCAACATTTCCTTTTGTTCCTAGTCAATCAATTAAGCTCTAACAAAAGCAAATCGGTCTAAATTGTGCCTTGTAGAAGGTCACCTCGATTTTAAATGTGGCACCTAACCAAGTTTGACGTGTAGCGCGATCGCGTAGCGGCTTTTAGCTGAGTAGCGACTCATCGTAAACCCTGTAATAGAAGCCCCCCCCCCCTACCTTCTAAGGTTGAGCTTTATCTCAGTTCCCGCCAAAGATTAAAAAAAAAGCTGTCAACTGATAAAATGTTTCCCATATTATCACAAAAATTTTATCAGTTGACACTTTTATGATAACTCGCACAACAATTCAGATAATAAACGGATCAGTGTTGGGACCCTACTATTGCAGCTTTTTCGGTGATAACTTCTAATTTTTTGTAATTTTGAAAACCGTTCGGAAACTTTAAAAACTGACACGGAGCCCACTTTCGTGTGCAACAAAACACACTTTTTCAGGTTCCCAACCGCGATTCCGTGAGACGTTTTTTTCTTACAATAAGGGCTCAAAGGCTAGTTGATTATCACTAAAAGTTCATTGAGAAATCACTTCCTATTCTCTTCACTTCCGGCTTGGTTTGATCTCATTGAATTCCAATTATCTTTACTATAAAAATTCACTTCCTGAATCGTCTACCGTACCCCCTCTTCGAAATTGCTTTCTACGCCTTCTGCCTCAATTATCCATACTTTCTCATAAAAATTTACGATTTCCTTCCCCCTTCTTTTTCTCCAACCCATCATTATCACCTAGATTCGAAAGTGCCCCTCGTTCACGTCATGTGGGTGTGCGTGGTGCTGCTCAGGCTCCGCCCCTTTTCTTCCTCTTCTTCTCTTGACTCCGCCCACCCGTGTGTGCCTCACTTCTTTCTCTGGTCTTGTTTCCAGAGAAAACCCAATCGTCACATCGAGAACATCGACTGCGAAGATTGAAGACATGAGCCGACTCTATGCACTTCTACTGATCGTCTGTATTGCCAACGTGGCATCAACAGCTCCAGAATCGGTTTGTTTTATTTTGATCATTTCTCTATTATTGAGAAATAGGTGGGATGTTTTTGAAAGACTTCCATAGACCCCATTCTAGGATTTGCATTTGGAAGAAAATACGGAATCCAAATATTTTTTTCGTTCATTCTTGCTCACTTCCGAATTTCTTGCTCACTTCCGAATTCCATGATGCGGAAAAAAATAGAGGTGTGAATCTGGGAGAAAGAAAAATAGGGAGAGAGTAGGGATCAATGGAATTGAAATAGAAACAATGGATATAGTACTTGTTTTCGTTTTAAAAAACAAGGAACGGAATGATTCGAGTTAAGTTTACGAGAAAGTAATTAGAAAGAGTTCAAGAGATAGTTAGGATCTTTTTAGAGGAGACATTGACTAGAAATGTGTCAAAAAGAAATATGAGCACAATGGTTTTTTTGTGGAAAATAAATTCATGAAGTTAGCCCATAACTACAGTACCACCGGCCAGTAAGATATACAAAAACGTATTTATCAATTGATTTTCGGCCATTTGGGGAATTTCAGGACTACGGAGCTCGGCTGGCAAGATTCCGATCACTTTGAAAACTTTGGACTCCTGAAAATGTATAGGCTTCTGAAAATGGTAAAAATGGCCGAAAATCAACCGAAATATACGTTGCTGTTTATCTTGTTAGCCGCTACGGTATCGAGATGTTTAAAATTAGCACCTGTCGATTCGAAAAATAAATATCTCCAGGCATAAATCCTGTAAAGCTTTCAAGATCGTTATATTTCTGGAGATTGGAATCACTTTCCCATATCTCCGATTCCTTCGAATCTCTTCTGAAACTTCCTGTTCATCAAAGTTCACATCCTCGAACGTGACTTATATAGACACAAGCAGCTGAAATCATTCCTCATCTAGTTTTCAAAACGAAACATCCGTTTCGGTTTAAGCCCTCATTTCTAGATTGGTTGAATCAGTGAGCTACTAATGAGCACAAGGAAAACACGTCTTCTTCTTCTTTTCCTTTTGGTCACTTTACTTCCACAATGGTTTCCTCTTCGAATGTTTTTTTTCCTCAATATTTTCTTGCATTTCTCTTTCTCTTGCTCACTCTACCGTTCAAAATCAAATTCAAAGTCTTCTTCTTCTTTTTTTTTGTACAAAAAGTTGAGCATCAGGAGAAGAATCCTAATGACGTCACTCACTTGTTATCACGTGGAATAAACAAACCTAGACTAGAGTAGGGGTGGAAAAGCTACACAACGACGACTACTAGCAGGGGTCATATTGCCGATTCAAACACACACAAAAATCTCATTAGGTTTTATGGGTGTGTAGATTTGAGACACTGATTGTCACACGTACGTGGGAATAGGAATTACTTTGATTAAACGGAACAAAAGCTGTATTGAGAAAGAACTAGACGACGTATACACAATGACTTCTGATTTTCAGATCCCAGATCTGGATGCACTCGCCGAGTTCTGTGCAAAGGAATCCAACAAGAGATACTGTGCTCAACTCGCTCAACTCTCTCTCGACAGCGCAATGGAAGCTAACCAGGTGAGTAGAAGACCGTCGATTCCCTTCAGAATCAAATATTTCAGTTTTTCTTCGAATAAATTTTGATTTTCAGGAGCAGGTCATACAAATGGAAAAGCGGAAGCCGTCGTTCGTCCGTTTCGGGAAACGTTCTGGATACCCGCTGATAATTGATAACGAGGAATTGCGTATGGACAAGAGAAAGCCATCGTTTGTGCGATTCGGAAGAAAATAGATCGTGGATTTTTGGTTTCAATCATTTCCTTCCGTTTCCCTTTAATTACCCTCATGATCTCTTCTGCTCATCTCTTCTCTCTTCTCAATCGATTTGTAGACTTCTGGCCCCCCGATCCATTCCTTCATTCTTTTTGGTAACCTGAGCATTTGCTGAATCAAGTTTTCATGTTGATATGCAATAAAATGGTGTTACTTGTGCGTCAATATCTTCCGAAATCATCCTCGTAGTATTTGAAAAAAATATTAAAAAAGAACAAAACACAGCGATTAAAAGAGCTTTTGATGAAAAAGAGCAAAAGTCATATGGAAATTGTGAATGCGTAAAAGTAAAATAGAAGACGTTTCGTGTGTCGTCCCGAATATTTCGCATGAATTATTGAGGAAATGAAAATGAAACACCTCCGGAATCTTTCAACTTGGCGCCGAGGTTTCTTTTTCAGATTTTTGTGTCTGGGGACCCATTCAGAATTACCAAAGGCATCAGTGGGAAGTTTCTGTGAAACTCAGCATTTCAAAGGGTCTCCGTCAATGAGCTTCATCAATTCCCTGCGAAAAATGCTGCATA